CACAGGCACTCACACACACACACACACACACACACACACACACACACACACACACACACACACACACTGCCTTTCTTTTCAGTTTGCCCCACCATACTCTTCTTTAGGCATTCCTGGGCATTCCTCCAAACCGTGAGTGTATCGGAGGGAAGGCTTTGTTGGGCACACACACACACACACACACACACACACACACACACACACACACACACACACATGTTCTTTATCCTCATGGGGACTTTGCATTGACTTCCGTTCATTTACTGGTCAACCCTGACCCCTGACCAAACAACGGTATCCACCCCCATGAGGACTAGTTTTATATCAGTAGTGATGTTTGCTAAAAATCATCCCCACAGGGAATATCCATAATATTCTCATTTCTGATGACTAACTCTGACTTAGACCCTGGATTCTGCAGACATTCTTGGTTGAATGTTTTAAGAAGCTCCAGCTCTTAAATGCACTGATTTCCATGAGGAGGAGACGTGACAACAGCTTCTGCTCTCCATCCTGCAGCTTCCTGCTCAGCAGTTCCAGCAGCTCTTCCAGTCACAGAAACCATCTCTGTCGGCTCCCAGCCTCTCTGCAGGTTATCTTCTCTTTACTTTAATCATCGAGTTTTTACATTTCTTCTGTTTCCTACCTGTGACTGACAGCTCATTAGGCCAATCAGCTGTTTCCATTTTGTTTCCTCATGTTTCTTCAATAATAGATAAAAGAAAATGTTTTTGTTTGAGTGTATGTTTGATGTGTTAGTGAAATACCTATTTTTAAAATGTAATTGATACTTCCAGAAGGTAATCATTTGATGTACATCTACAGCTTCTTCACTTTTGAAAGTCTGTCTGATTCAAGATAAGAGGACTTAAAAAAAAATCACAAAACTGCTGTAACTCAGTCAGGTTTAAAGGTATGCATCTAAAATTTGGTGTGGTAATAACTGAGAGTCATTCTTAACATTTCAGCCTTTTTATTTATAGCAGGATATTTGTTGGCCATTAACCTTTGGAGTCAACTCTGTCTGTTAGCAAAATATTTCATGAACTGTTGGGTAAATTTTAACAAACCTTTTAGAGTGCAATCATTAGGTGCACGTCTACAAATGATTACCTTTTAAAGTCAACCCAATTCAAGATGGCTGCCACAGCTAACTGACCTTTGGAAACACAAAAATAGCGATGACTCAGCCAATTGAACCAAATTTTGTTGTGATTGTAGCTGATAGTTATTCCCAACACTTAGTCTGAGCAGCAACAAATTGTGTAACAACTTTGCTTAAACGCTTGGGATGAACTGTTGGAGTCAGACCTGTTCTTCTGGTATCAAAATATCTCACAAAACACTTCATGGATTCGAATGAAACTCTCAGAAAATCATCATTGGGTGTACGCCTACAACTGTTTACATTTTGGAGTCACCCTGAATCAAAATGGCTGCAACAGCTAATCAATATTAGCAGTGGTGGACAAAGTACTCAACTCTAGTACTTGAGTAAAAGTATTGATACTCATGGTCAAATCTACTCCACTACAAGTAAAAGTTACTCAGTCAAAAATCTACTCAAGTAAAAGTACTGAAGTACTTACTTTTGRAAATACTTAAGTATTCAGAAGTACATGCATTTTAAAGTACTTAAGTACAAAGTAAAAGTACAAATTACATTTTCTTTTTTTCTTTTCTTTTTGTTGTCACTTCAGTAGAAAATAAACTAAATATTAGTTTATTTAGTTTATTTATTCATCATCAGTGACTTTTTTTAAGTGAAGAGAAAATAGAGACAGAGATAAAAACAGAGAGAAGTAATTAGAAAGATAGAAAGATTGAAATAGAAGTATATTAAATATACACCAACAAAACACAGGACCACACACCCAACATCTGTCCACTCACCTGAAAAATAAATGGATAAATAC